GTTTAACATTATATATATCCGCGTGACTATAAGGAAAACGTCTCAAATAAATATTCATGGACAAACAAGTCACTAAATTTGCTACGAGTACACTTCTACAGTCACTTTGATATACTCCATACTATCCTCCGTTTCTTATAGTTGCAACATGGAAATTTTTTATCATTCACATATTCTACTTTAACTATATTTTGTTTGTTCATGTAAGAGAATTATATTTTTTGAAAGTTGTTGTTGAATTCTTTCATTACAAATTTTTATAATTTGATTTTACATACTCCATAGTTTTTACTAATAGTGAATTAAATATAATGACGATCAAAGTTGTACATTGGCAACGTGAAAATAGGAATGTTGCAAATAAAAAAGAACGGAGGAAGTAAAATAAAACATAATTACAATTCCCAAGAGCTAATAACTCACATTTTTTCCAGTATCCTTATTTTTACAATCAGAGTATAAATTAAAAAAGTTATATCAATTCAAAAAATAGATGTTTTTTGAAGTGTTACGTTGTATTTGATATATTTTTTGTAACAACCGAAGTACAAATGAGAATGTTGCAAAACTCTAAAAATGTTTTGAGTGTATTTGCATTGTAATAGTCATGTAAAATAACAATTTATTATTTACTTTTCATTTTTGAAAAAACGTCACAATGTTAATAATAATGTCAATACTATCAAATGTTGGATCACTTTATTGGTAAAAATATGAAAATTCACCTATGAATATCAACGGGGGAAATGATATCATTCAAGAATCATATCACCCTTGAAAGAACGAAAATTTTGTTGAAAAATGTCAATATTGTTAAAAATAGCATTATTGGTAAAGTGTGAAAAGTTACATTTGAGTGTTATTTCAACTTTTAAGATTAAAGATTAAAAAACATTATTATTTATAAAGTTATTTATATTCAATCCAAATTTTGACATCTCATAAAAGCAATACTTGATTTTAATAAATAAAGAAATTGAAGTCATTACATTTCTTTTTAACCAAAATCGAAATATACCTTACCATAGTCCCATCAGAAAGATTTACACGCTCATTCTCACTCATTTGTGTGTGTGTTTGACACCTCATGCCAGTAACCGTTACTATTAAAGAATGTAATTATAGAATTCGTCATATATTATATAATGTCCAAACACATATCTGATTGGTTATCCACAATCATGTTCATCATAAATTTCAATTGAGAATCCAAGCCGACCATGATGCAACTCTATCTTTACAACATTATATTTGTTATTGTCTATTATTAGTACAATACACTTCGATCAAATAGGTAGATTTCAACTTCAATATGGTTAGTAATAACATACAATTGAAGTTATAAGTGAAGATAAGATAAATGGAGTAATAATTGAGCGAAATAATTTTCTCTCTCATATGTAGTGCTTTTAGGTATAATAAAGAAGGTATAAGTGAACTAATAATTGAGCAGGAAGAATTTTCTCTCTCATGTGTAGTGCTTTTAGATATAAGAAGATATGCAGACTAATAATTGAGCGGGTGAATTTTCTCTCTCATAGAAAAACACACTTTTTTCTTTGGCACAAAATTAAAACATTGGTTCATTAAAATTCAAAAAATGATTATCAGGTAAATATTAGAGAATTGATTAAATTATACGGAGTAAAAAACAAATTTGTAACCTACAATGTGTAACTATACTAGTATATACTTAAAAAGAACTACAAATGAGAGACAAAGTTCTCCCGCTCAATTATTAGCAGTTATTATCTTTTTATTTATACCTAAAACCCTGACATATGAGATAGAAGGTCCTCTCACTCAATCATTAGCCGGCTAACCCTATATCTAAAAGCACTACATATGAGAGAGAGAATTATTCCCCTCCATTGTTAGCCGATTTACCTTATATCTAAAATAACTATGTATGACAGAAAAAATTTATATGTTAGCTTGTTAGCATGCTTGTCTTCTAATACCTAAAAAATTACATATGAGAGAAAATTCTACCGCACAATTGCAGCCGGCTTATCTTATATATGATAGATAAAATCCCCCCTCTCAATTATTAGCTAGATTATTTTATACCTAAAAGCACTACTTATGAGGGGGAAAATCTCTCGCTCGATTGTTACACGACTTATGGCTTACTCTTTCTTATATTTAAAAGCACAACATATGAGAGAAAAAATCATCCTGCTCAATTGTTACATGACTTGTCTTACCATATATTAAAAGCCGCTACATATGAGAAGAAAACTCTTCTTCTCAATTGTTAGCAAGTTTATCTTTTTAGCTACTTATACGTAAAAACGATACAAATGAAAGAAAAAATTATCTCACTCACTTGTTTGTCGGCTTATCTCATCGTATACTTAAAAGAACTCATATGAGAAAGCAAAATTAATACTGCTCAAATGTTAGCAAACTTATCGTCTAATACCTAAAACTACTACATGTGAGAGAGAAAAATCTTCCCCTCAATACCCTTCTCAATTGTTGCAAGTTTATCTTCTATAATACCTAAAAGCACTACATATGAGAGAAAAAATTTTCACGCTCAATTATTAGCAAGTTTATCTTCTTATACCTAAAACCACTACATATAAGAGACAAAGTTCTATCACTCAATTGTTAGCCGACTTACTTTATACTTAAAAGCACGACATATGAGAGAGAAAATGTTTTCTATCACTTGTAAGTTGACTTATTTTCTTATAGTTAAAAAACTACATAAGAGAGAGAAAGTTCTTCCGCTCAATTGTTAGCACGTTTATCTTCTAATACCTAAAAACACTACATATTTGTATCCAATAACCTTATGTTGGTTATACATTAGAAATTATTTATTCATTTAATACGTAATAATTGATATCGTGATTCGAAAATAGGAAGGTGTAATAAACCTTCATACAACAACAACATGCAAACCTTAATCCCAAAAGAATTTGGGGTTGTCTAACATGAATCGATCTATGAATCGATCTATAATAAACCTTCATAATTTTTTAAAATTATATATATTAAATATTGGTGTCATATGAAAGAGCGTAAAAAATTATGACTTTTGATATATTTTTTGTAACAATTAAAGTAGAAATTAAAAAGTTATACCACTTTGAAAAAAAGAGTATTTTTTTATACAATTGGCACCAAGAATTTAATCTCTACTCAACCTACGAATGCTATTGCTATTATTATGTTAAGTAGTACTCGGTATTTATTATCCTTTTTCCAAATACAAAATCTAGAATTTGACACATGGCATTTTTATAGCAAAGGAGCAAATTGTGAGGAGATGGACACATAGGATTAATGAAGGGAATACTTGTATTTTAATGAGCTATTTCTTTTCTTATATATAAATAGATTAGGATAGGGAGTTGCTTCGTGCACCCAAAAATGCTTAATGTAACCCTTACGGGACATATATGCCCTTTTTAATTAATCCATGATACTTTACCCTACGTACTAACGACTGCTCCCACGATGAAGTGCTCAACACCAACAAATATTTTTTAAAAGGGTCATGTTCCAAAAAATTCTATTCCTTTTTAAAAAATTATTAAACAAATTTTATATCGTTCATTTTTTTTAATTATTTGTTATTACTAAATAAGTTATTATTTACTTCTATTTGCCTCATTCATGCTTTTGATGATCTATTGATCAAGATTAATGATTAAAAATATACTACCGTCGTGGGCCCGTGGCGCCGTCCCGTTAGAAGGTTCTCATAACAAAATGACACGGTTATTTAAGCAATAATTAAATAAAGTACTTCGAGTATATTTTGAGAAATAATTTTAATAGATATATATATATTATAATGTAGTTAGTATTGATAACTGTGATGTTATAAATGTATTATTTTAATTTATCACTTAAGATTGTTAATGGTTTCATAAAGTGTCAAAGTAATATCTTTGTCATTCTCCTGTACTTTTAGTGTATTATTACTTTTTGTAAGTCATACACAAGCCACAAATATATTAAAAAATGGTCAAAATATATTTGTGGCAAAATTTGGAACCTAATTTGGTCTTTTATGCGATTGAAAAGTATTTCATCCACGATAAAAGAATAAGGATGTTTTTAATTGGACACAAAAAAAATTTGTCTGGCTGATCTGGTCTGGTTTGAATTGATCTAGTCTGGTAGATATCTGGTCTATGTGTATTTTATAATTGTTCAAGTCTGATCTGGTATGCTCTGATCTGGTTTGAGACTGAATAAGTAAAAACATCCTAAAAATGACTAGAAGAATTTTTTATACCAATTTATTTTTAAAAATTATTACTCTAACATTCTAATTCTAAAGTATAAAATAACTTAAATTACTCGGATCAAGCAAACCCTAAAAGTTTTCTCTCAGTCTAGTTCGAGGGCGGACGGCAGACATAAGACTTTTTATCATTTTATTTACTCCTTTTTTCTTGATTGTATTATTAGTCATGTGACGAACGTTATTTTGATTTAATATATTAGTTAGATTTGATGATAAAAAAAAAGTATTAAATAACTTAGACGAAACTAACTACTCCGTAGGAAAAGATTTAAAGTATAATACTCCCTCCGTCCCGTTGGCATGTTCTCGATTTGACCTACACACATATTAAGGAAATAAACTTACCATGGGTAAATTTTATTATTTTTACACTGTTTGACACTATTTAACAATGTTTGACCCTGTTTTGATGTAGGATAACTTTCCATTTATGGAAATGGGAACTTTCCAACAGAACATCCAAAAAAGGAAAGCGGAAACATTCCAACAGGACAGATCGAGTATTATTACTCTAATATTTAAACTAACGTAGTATATTAATGAGATGAGAATCATGAGATAAACTAACGTAGTATATTAATAATTAATAAAGAATCATAAATTAATGGATCAACTGAAAACACAAAATAATCTTGGGGCGGAACAAAAAGTGAGAACCGATGACCCGTGAAGTGACGAATCAAAAATAAAAAAATTAAAATAAGGATGAAATTGTCAGACAAGGGTGAAAATTCGGTGCGCCAAGCAGTAACGGGGTGCGCCGATATCAATTCTTAATTAAATTTATAGAACTTTATAAATTTTAATTATTAAATTAGTTATCTTTTCAAAAGCAAATTGGGAAGGAGCTAGCTAGTATATCTCACGGTCATTATTCTCTGTTTCTTCTCCTTTCTTGGTGCCGTTTGTCAGACAGACAGAGAGATGGTGTTCGCTACTGCTATAAATTCATGCCAACTGTATGTTCCGGGAAACCGGCCGGTGTTACAGCGAGCCATTAGTTGCTCTTCGGCATCGATGGGGTCGGCCAAGTTTGATCTGAAGAATTACTGGGCCACACTGATTAAAGAGATCAACCAGAAGCTGGATGAGGCAATTCCAACTCAATACCCTCACCAGATTTACGAGGCCATGCGATACTCTGTTCTTTCCAAAGGCGCCAAGAGGGCCCCACCCATCATGTGCGTCTCCGCCTGTGAGCTCTTCGGCGCTAACCGCCTCGCCGCCTTCCCCACAGCCTGCGCTCTAGAAATGGTTCGTTCATCCCCAAATTCTCAATCTACACCTCTTCCAATTTTTTTGTGTGAACTGATTGAGTTTCCCAGAGTTTTGGTTTACGTAATTTAACTTGCCGATCGCACACCCTTACGTGAACTCCCTGTAAGAATTCTCGTTTAGAAGGGGTTGAGGTTAATTCATATTATGGTGCTCACAATCATCCCCTTCACCTCAACCAAGTTTGTTGGTGACACAAAGTTATACGAGCAATTGATTATCTGAAAGTAGCTAATGACCCACATTACTAAATATTAGATTAGAATATGAAATACTAAATCTTTTGCCTCTTTAAATTTCGTGTGCGGTTTAAGTCCACCCTTTATTTATCTTAACTGCTTAACTTAATGGTATCAGCTCTATGCAGCCGCCCATTTATAATTTGTTTAGCTAAGTTTGGATTGAGAGGTGTATTGACGGTTCACCGTTCTATTTTATGCAAGTAGCCCAATGAGTGAGTCTACTTTATGCAAGTATAAGTTAATTTTCACCTCTATTTGAGTATTTTCGTCAGCATGGACAACGACATCTAAGCCTTAATCTCAAAAGATTTAGGAGCGGCTAACATGAATCCATACATGATAGCGGAGCCATAAAGGAAAGAAAATATAAGAGAAATAAAAAGATAAAGTAAGATAAAAAGGATAAAGATAAATATAAAAGTGATAAGATAGAGAGGTGAAAAGAAAATGTATAAAATAAAAAGGATAAAGAAGATAAAAAGATAAAAGAGAAAAAGAGAAGAAATCAATCCTTCACACAAATATTCACCGTCCCATATGCTTTCACCAAAGACACTCTCATCCAACCCAAGAAGAAAGCATAGTAGTTGCAAAGGTAAGCGCGATGTGTTGTGGATTTAAGTGGAGGCATGAATAATGGCTTCAATACACACACACACACTGACACACACAAATATATATAGTAATCTTCATTTCAGGCAGCATGATGAGAATCTCATCAGACCAACTTCATTTGTCCCAAAAAATAACTTTAATGATCCACTTTTTGTACTCATCAGTACTACTATTAACTATTATTTTCAATCGTTAGATCTGAATTTTTTCAATGATACACCATACAAACTCACTTTAACGATTAAAATGCATTCACTCATCATACAAAATGGAATTAAGCTTGGTAAAATTTTATTTTTTATGATTTAATGGTTGAAACAAATAGTTTATACTAATGAGCAAAAAATGGATCATTGGCTTCATTTTTACTAAAAAGTTGGTTTAAGGGGATTCCCATCATGACTAATGAGATCATTTCTCTCTCTATATAATGAAAACAATGTATCTTATCTTTTGTATCTTATCTTTTTTTTATCTTGTATTTTTATTTTTCTTATTGGCTCCGATATCATGGATCGATTCATGTTGATCGACCTCAAAATCTTTTGGGAATAAGGCTTGAATGTTGTTGTTGTTGTATATAAATCACTACGGTGTGAACTAGGAACCGTGCACATTGACTTGTGCCTGAAAATGTCAAGTTATTTTTTTGTTTAAAGGTATGCTTCTGTGTTTTGTAGTTCACATGTTATTCTTCATATTAGTTGCTGATCAATACCATGCATGATTAGGTTCACGCTGCCTCTTTGATTCATGATGACTTGCCATGCATGGACGATGACCCATTACGCCGAGGACAACCTGCGAACCACACAAAATTCGGGGTGGACATGGCAATTTTGGCTGGTGATGCCTTATTCCCGCTCGGTTTCCGCCATATAGTCTCCAACACTCCAACAGATCTTGTCCCAGAGAATCAACTTCTCAAGGTGGTAGCGGAGATTGCCCGTGCTGTGGGGTCTACCGGCATGGCTGCTGGACAATTAATCGACCTCGAGGGCGGGCCCTATGCCGTGAGATTTGTTCAAGAAAAGAAGTTCGGTGAGATGGGTGAGTGTTCGGCCGTCTGCGGGGGTATCCTAGCGGGTGCTTTGGACGAGGAGATTGACATGCTAAGAAGGTACGGGCGGGTTGTAGGCATGTTGTATCAAGTTGTTGATGATATATTGGAAGCAAAGGAGGAGGAGCAGAGTGCTAAGGACACAAATGAGACTGTCATTACTAAAATGAAGAAGTTGAAAAGCTATGTGGGTGTGTACGGTGTGGAGAAGGCGATGGAAATTGCTGAGGACATGAGGATACAAGCTAATAGAGAGTTGGATGCTCTCGATAAGAAGTATGGGGATAAGGTCATCCCACTACGCAGCTTTGTGGATTATGCTGCCTATAGAGGTTTTAACATTGATGTTGATCAAGTTTAACTTGAAATTATAACGACAGTTTGAAGTTGTATGTTTACATATCCCTCGCTCTATATATGAATTCAGATATTTGTTTTAATACTCTCCCTGCCTAACAACTGCCACCTAGTTTGGTCCTAGTTGGATTTGAATATTCTTGGTTTGAGCAGGTCAGTTGCTGAACCTGAGCTTGATTACTTCCTTGTGATCTTTCTTGGCAAGGGCCAAAAGATGGGGTGGGTGTTTACCTAGTGCAGATTTTCGATTGCCACAACAGCTTGCCTAGTCAGTACAGCAAAAAAAGAAAGAAAGGGAGAACTATCAAATAAGCCCTCGAACTTTCATTAAAAAGTGCAAATAAGCCCTTTTACAGGAGACTTTGTCCGACTGTCTCCATTTGGGGTGGTTTCTAGTGAAATATTTTGATGAAATTTTTTGAGCATGTTATTCATTAAGTCCTCGAGCATGTTGATCAAATGATTTTCTGAAATATACTTCGCTTACTAACTGCGCAGTTATCTTCAAAAGTTCATTTGACTGCGTTACAGATTGAATTTTTAGCTGAAATTTGACATGAGTAAACTAGACTCGATGAAGAAGATTCTCAAAAAATTTCATAAAAAAAATCCACCGGAAACTGCCCCAACTGGCGACGGCCGGGCAGAATCTCCTATAAAAGGGCTTATTTGCACTTTTTATGAAAGTTCGAGGACTTATTTGATAGTTCTCCCAAAAAAAAACAAGATCACATCTATGTACTGCTGCCACCTTCTTCTTGGCTGTAAGTTTGAAAAAATAACTATTAGGCCACCACAGGACAAGGATATTTGGAGGTCCTTTTCTAGTGGAGTGGTGATGTTCTCCCAATCTCCTCCATACCAATGCCGTCATTCCTTTATTATTTCTTTACCAAACTAGTTTTTCCAAATCTCTTTGTCGACTGTATATATATATTTTTGAACTGCCCACTGCAAATGAACACAGATTGTCAGATCGGTTATAGTGTTACTAAAAAAGTCCGACATGTTGCCAAAAACATCTTCATGTTCAAGCAAGTTTTAGTGTCATGCAATTAGATAGAATATGCTCTAGATTTAATACTATGTATTGTAATGTACTAGTGTATGTATCTTGGGCCTATTGGGCGTCAATCGTCATATGTAAATTCTATGAGAAAATTCTCGAAATAAGAGTATAATTAATAGGACTGTCATGTTTCTAGTTTTTAAATAAGAGTAATTATTGTGAAGTTTAGAAAATATTGCGATGTTTAAAGTATGGTACTATCAAAACATGACACTAATTTCTCCTATTTGGGGAATAAAAACAAGACATTCCTAGTTTGGAATATATAATTGTTTTTACTCCTACATTCCTAGTTTGGAATAAATTCAGCACTTTCTCTTCTTTTGTGTAATTGATATCTTTAGAAAATAGAACACCATACCATTCTAGTATTTTAACACCCCTTTTGCAGCAGATATGATTATTTAGGATCGGCCATAACCTGCTTACTAGCCCCCACACCAAATAAAATTTCAGGCCTACTGTGACTGTGTGACATAGGAACCTTAAGCACCCCTAAGTTGTCTATACAATGCTACATCACCTCTTGTCTCATCATACGTTCCAAATTGTGTATTGCGTATAAATGTATACCAAACTAACAGAAAATAATACCAAATATAATATGGCCGTAAAAATTTAAAAATGAACATACCATGATCTACGAGAGGCAGGGAAGGGGAGAAATAAGAGAGGCGAAAAAGGGGAGGAATAAAAGCGGCAGAGAAGAGAAGAAATAATAGAAGCGGTGAAGGGCATAAGTAAGAAGAGAAGTGATGGCAAAAAAGAACTTGCGAAGTTGCAGATCGAGAAAACCAAAGAAATTAGGAATTCAAGAGTAGAAGAGGCTGACTAGCGATGAAGAGTGTTATGGTTCCATGGTGTTTGACCGAGAAAACCAAAGAAATTAGGAATTCAAGAGTAATGAATTCAAACAATAAGGAGAAAGTTCAGGGAAGAAGGAGAAGATCATATTCAACGTAAAGTGATCGTAATACAATGAGCTAGCTATATACATGAGAGCTGAACTAATTATAACAAACTAATGGTTACAACTAATAACCGATTGGGACGTTAGTCAGCTGCCAGCTCACTTCCGGGTCCACTGCTGCTTTTATAGTCCAGCTCATCCTCAAGCCACGAAACAATGCCTCCCACTCAAACTCAGCTTGTCCTCAAGCTGTTGTAGTTTTCTGCACAAACTCAGGAAACTTTTTGATGAACTCTTCATGCAATTCCCAAATAGCCTCTTCTTTCTCAGCATTTGACCATTGAATCAACCAATAAACAGCAGCAACATTCCCTCTTTTAGAAATCTTTCTATCCAGTATAGCAATTGGTTCCCTTCTCAATTGTCCATTATCATTGAGATTAGGCAAAGAACTGCTAATAGGAATAGAACCAAGATGTTTCTTAAGCTAGGAAATATGGAACACCGGATGTATTTTCGCATGGTCTGGTAACTGCAACTTGTAGCCATTGTTCCAACTCTATCAATCACTATGAAAGGGCCAAAATATCTTGGGGACAACTTCATATTGGTTCTATAACTCACTGACTGCTGTTTGTTGGGTTAAAGCTTAACATATACCCAATCTCCCACTTCAAATTCCTTGTCACTTCTATGTTTGTCAGCCATGCTTTTCATTCTGTCTTGGGCTCTTTGATATGGAATTTCAACATATTAATACACTCCTCCCTCGCCTTTAAGCTCCTATCAACAGCATCCACTGTAGAGTCTCTAGTAACATAAGGTATATGGAGTGTAGGAGGCTGCCCATAAACCACTTCATAAGGAGTATCCTGAGTTGAAGATTGGTAGTTAGTATTATACCACCATTCTGCTAAAGGCATCCAATTAGCCCAGTCTTTAGGTTTTCCCCAGACATGCACCTCAAGTATGTCTCCAGGCACTTGCTGACTGCTTCAGTCTGACCATCAGACTGTGGATGATACGCAGTAGACATATGCAGCTCCACCTGTAAGAGTTTGAATAACTCTTTCCAAAATCTGCTCAAGAAAATCTTATCCTTATCACTTAATATAGTCCTAGGAAGACCATGCAATTTAAAGATATTATCAAAGTAGACTTTGGCCACTATGGAAACTGTATAAGGGCGAGTACAGTAAGTAGTATGAAATGAGCGTACTTGCTCAATCTGTCCACCACTACAAAGATAGTATCTTTATCACAAGATTTAGGCAGTCATTCTATGAAGTCCATAGAGATGTTGACCCAAATAGCCTCTGGAATAGGTAAAGGCTGAAGTAATCATGCTGGAGCTTAAAGGATAGGTTTACATTTCTGACATATTTCACATTCTCTAATTACCACCCTGATGTCCTTATTCATTTTCTTCCAATAAAACAGGGTCTCAACTCTTTTATAGGTGGCTTAAGTTCCAGAATGCCCTCCTAGAGGTGAAGTATGCATGAGCTGAATAATTTCTTTCCTCGATTCCTCCTTCTGTCCCACCACCAATCTTCCTTTTCTCAGGAACTTCTCATCCTGCCATGAAAATTTACTTTGAGTTAATGATCCATCTTGTAATGATCGAGTCAATTGATGACTTTCCATGTCTTCCCAACTTTCTTTAATCTTCTGCAATAAGTAGATTGGATCTCACTCACAATCAAGCTCATGATTGTCCCCCCATCAACTCTGGATAAGGAATATGCTGCCATATTTTCCTTTCCTTTCCTGTAACACATTTCATGATCCATACCTAAAAGTTTAGGTAGACATTTGCTCTGAAATGAGGTGGTAATTTTTTGATCCAATAAGTATTTCAGGCTGAAGTGATCAGTCTTAATAATGAAGTGCCTCACAGTTAAGTATTATCTCCATTTTGCACAGCTAGGACAACTGCCAAAAAGTTCTTTTTCATTTGTAGAAAGTGACATGTTCTTCTAAGATACGGCCTTGCTTAAATAAGCAATAGGGTTCCCCTCTTGAGATTGTTGATAAAACGAAGAGACATCATTAATCTAGGATTTATTTTCCTTATTATTACTGTAATTATGTGTATTTAGTGCTTCAGGTTATATTTAATACCTGCTGTCTTTTCAGTTCTCAATCATTTATGTTTAGTTTTTAGACGGTCACCTAGGGTATTGAATAGACTCTCTCAGGATTCCTATCTATATAAATAGTTTATGTACTTCTTGTAAATGAATTAATGGAAATAATATTTAGAAAACTTCATGGTATCAGAGCTTGATCTCGTATCAGCCACTTCACTATTAATCATCTTTCGAACAGTCTATTAGGGTGTCTCTCCCTGCCTCTCTGTTTAATCTTGTGGTGCCCATTTCTTCACCAACGGTTTTATCATGTCTAAGGAAACTGAATCAAGTAACCTTGATCACTCAACCATTGTTTCAGTTGCTACTGCAGCCGCGTTTGCTCTTCGAAACTAGAAATTTGGTCTTCCTTCTATCCCGCCATCTTACCGTCTCAATGGCAGGAACTATCTTGGATGGTCAAAGCTGGTTTACACTCTCCTACATGGCAAAGATCTTGAAGACTATCTCACTGTCTCTACCCCAGAAGAAGGAGAGATTGATGCTGCTATTTGGGAGAAAACTAATGCCAACATACGGGTCTGGTTATGGGACTCTATGGATCCCAACATTAGCCGTACATGTTTATACATGGACTCGGCTAAAGAAATCTAGGATTTCATAGAGCAGTCTTACTCTGTTGCTAAAGATGGCGCTTTTGTCTATGACTTATGGCTCAAAACAACGAATCTTAAGCAAGATTCACAATCTGTCACAGATTATGCAACTGAACTCTAACGACGATGGTCTGAACTTGACCAGTATCAAACAATGAAGTGGTCGAATGCTGCAGAAGTATCTCTTCACAAGAACTATATAAATCAGCAACGTCTATATTGCTTCTTGTCTGGTTTAAATCTCGAATATGATCAGACTCGTGGTCAAATTCTTGGCATTACTCCTCTGCCTGACATATCTTCTGCCATTGCCACTATCAAACATGAAGAGAGTAGATGCAATATAATGATGAATACAAATCTGATTGACAGTACATCT